ACTACCATTGTATTTATAGAGAGAAATATGGACCGGACAGAATTATGATTACGCCCGGGAACAATGGGATATGTTTGACCCAATGTTGATATCAGAAGGAGCTTTTGCAGCAGGCATGATTTTCAGGCTAAACTAGTATTACATATATATATATATATATATATATATATATATATATATATATATATATATATATATATATATCATCATCATCATAATAATATTCCTCTTTACCGCCTATGCAGTGTGAGGTTGCTTTTTGTAGAGCTTGGACCAGGTGGACCTTTCCAGTACCAGCTCTCGTCTCCTGTTCCATTCCAAACCTCGCTTCTGGAATGCATCTCGCACACTCTCTTCCCAGGCGATTCTGGGTCTTCCTCTTGGTCTCCTACCCTGCACGCGAGTCTCATATGTCTTCTGTGCGACTCTGTCCTTCCATACGGAGAAGGTGCTCAAACCATCTCAACTTGTGTTCATCTATTATGGTTTCGACCGCTTTGGCGTTGAGATTAGCGCGGATTGTAGTATTGCGAATTCTGTCTCGTCTAGTCTTTTCCTCCACCTTTCGCAGGTATCGCATCTCTAGAGCCTGGATCTTGCTCCTGTGTTTTGATGTAAGTGTCCAGTACTCGGAGGAATACGTCAGTATAGGAAGGAATACTGATCTGTAGACCGTCGTCTTTGTTTCCTTAGTCACCTCTTTTCGGTTCAGAAAGCCTTTCCTAACCGAGCCGAACATTCTTCCAGCAGCTCCTATTCTCTGCCTTACCTCCTCGTCAATATATCCATTTTCGTTGAGTTGAGCACCGAAGTATTTAAAACTTTCCACCTGCTCTAAAATCTCACCGTCGATCCTCAATACCCTCATAACCCTATGAGGGTTTCTTCCAATGCGCATGCATTTTGTCTTCTCAGGGTTAATTTCCGTATTGACTTCTCTTAAATCTTCCTTTAGGATATTGATGTTGTTCTGGAGGTCACGGTCATTCTGGGCCAATATGACGAGTTCATCCGCAAACGCCAGCAGAGAGTATAGAGTAGGCTGCATATCTCTGTGACCCAACTAGAAACTTCGCATCTTCTGTTTTGCTTTTCCCAGCGCCAGATCGAGAACCAGTACGAAAAGAAGTGGGCTCAGGCCACAACCCTGTCGTATGCCCAGTAGTGTTTTGAACTCTCGAGAGGTATGGTTTCTTGTTCTAACATGATTCCTCGTATTTCCGTATAAACTGCTTACGGCCCTTATTAGTCCATTATTCACACCTTTTTCAACTAGAACCTCAATTATATCCTTTTTCCTAAACCGGTCAAAGGCTTTGCAGAGATCTACAAAGCACACAGAGAGTTCTCTTCCCCTCTCGACAATCTTCTCTGTGATTTGTCGCATAGTGAAAACTAGATCTTGTGTGCTTCTTTGATTCCTGAATCCATACTGCTCCTCTCCAATCTTAGATTCTAAGGTACTTCTGACCCTTGTCTCTAGGATTTTTGAGTATATTTTACTGGGAACACTAAGGAGCGAAATACCTCGATGATTGTTGCAATAACCGTTGTCTCCCTTCTTATATATTGGCACAATGACTGCGACTTCCTAGTCCTTCGGGATCTTCTTCTGTTTCCAGACCAGATTCACAAGATGGAGAAACATTTCCTGGCCTTTACTTCCCATAAACCTCATCATTTCCGGAGTGATTCCGTCCAGTCCCGCCGACTTGCCGAGTTTCATCTTGGCGATGGATTCCAGCAATTCTTCTTCATCAATGTAATCGTCCTCTTCTGAGGAATGCTCCTCTACAACCTGGATCTCGTTTAGGTTCCAATCTGTTCCTTCCAGCAGCTCTTTAAAATACTCTCTCCACCTCTCCATTATCTCATCATTCCGCCAGACAATGCTCCCCTCTCTGCTCCTAATTCCTTTCAATGTGGTGGGTCTCTCCTTGCGCATTTCTTTGATTGCTTTGAAGAATAGTTTTTGATTTTCTTTTGAGCTTTCTTCAATGCCCCAGATCTGCATTTTCTTTGTGCCCCAGATCTGCCCACGATTTCTTCTTGGCTAGAAGTACTTTACTTTTTGTTTCCTTTCTCTTTTTCCTGTAGTTTTGGTGAGCAATGGGTGTTCTTTGGCTCATGAAGTCTTTCCAAGCTGCTTTCTTCTCCTTTACAGCTCTCTTTACATCCTCTGTCCACCAAGCAGTTCGCTTGAAATTTGACCTAATGCTCTTCTGACCACAGACAAGTCTCGCTGAAGAATGATATTTCTAAATGCTGTCCAGCTCTCCTCAATATCATCGCTATCCCATGATTGGTAGATATCTCGTGACATCCTTTCCACTTCCTCCTGATAGTATTGGGTCATTTCATCCTCCTTCAGCCTGTACGATTTAATCGTTTTGTTTTTACTATCTACACATCTGTTCCTCATTTTGCTGTCATTCCAAACTTTATCGAGCATTAACAGGTAGTGGTCACTGCCAATTTCGAAGCCCCTCTTCACTCTGGCATCTTGTACATTTCTGAACTCTTCCCTCTTAACTAGTATATAATCGATGGTCGATCTTTCGTTCCTGCTGGGTTCCTCTCTGTGAGTGAGGGAAGGAAAAATGAAATAAAAAATAATTTAAAACACGCTGCGTGACCTTGATTTTGTATTAGAGTCGCTATAGGACCTCCCTTCCCAAGTGAAGACTCCAGGCCAACTGACTACATTGGGCTAGGTATTTATGGGTGCGAGATAAGGACAGTCCTCTGTACACCAGCTTCACTTCGCACAACTCTACACAATAAATAACAATAGTACTCACTGTGGTATTAGTATATATTATGGTCCATTTAACCATTAAGTTACAAAGCGTAAACATTTGGATGGTTAAAATTTATAAGGTGTGTACCTTATCCTTATAACGACGAAGTAACTAAAACATTGTTCTAAGCTTAACTAGTATTACATATATATATATATATATATATATTATATATATATATATATATATATATATATATATATATATATATATATATATATATATATATATATATAATATGACTAAAGTCCCATATCATTATTTATGTTTTAAGAATTGACTATTCAAAGTCTAACGTTTATTTTCAATGAATTATTAAATGTTCAAGGATTTAAGTTTGTACTGCATCTCTAAGAAAATGTAAAGAATGAGAGTCGGTAGCGGATCCGTCTGACCTAGTTGGAAGAATCTTTAATTTGTGTAAAAATTTCAAGAGTTGGTCAGTGAGTAACAACGGATCTAGAAAATAAATGAAAATCGATTAAGAACATTATTATATTCCTGTAAGCATTCCACTCCTGGAGTATAACCCTTTCCTCCCAACTCACCCTGTATGTGTATTCATATTCATATTAACTACCATTGTATTTATAGAGAGAAATATGGACCGGACAGAATTATGATTACGCCCGGGAACAATGGGATATGTTTGACCCAATGTTGATATCAGAAGGAGCTTTTGCAGCAGGCATGATTTTCAGGTAAAAACAATATTTATTTTTTTCTAAGATGAATTAAAAATAAAAGATGTATGATAAAATTGTATTTGTTATTTGAGATAAGTAGTTTATATTATCATATGGAATTAAATATAAATAGGCTCTTATGATCCTCAGCACTAAATTAACGATCAACTATAAAAAAGTTGTATAAACTAGTTTTAGCTTTATTTTTGCACTGTAAACGATCGCATTGACTAAAATAGAATTTTAACTTTTAATCGATAATGATGCCTAGATTAGCGGCGAAAAATCCTAGTTTGCAAAAATCGTGTTGCCAAACATTGATCAGAGAGCCGTCGTTGTTGCAAGACAAACACTGGATCCTGCAAGACTTGAGCAAGTACAAGACCGATCTGCGTCACTTTTGCGGTCTTGCAGTAAAGTCCGAGTCCATTTTAGATATGGTGCCTTAACATATTGACTTTGTCCTAAATCTAAACAGCGCTGTTTTTTCTTGTAGAATTGTTTATTTGAGTATAGCTCTCCAAATAATTAATAACTCTCCAAATAATTAATAGCTCTACAATAAAGTATAGCTCTCCAAAAATTAAACATTTGCTAGGATCGAAGCAAGACAGTGTTTATGTGAATAATTTTTTTTTTTTTTACAATCATTATAACTTATCTATTGAAAAATATTACAATCTGTCTCAAAGGACATTTATAATAGTGTTAAGAGATCACATTCACACACTAAATTATTGCAATTAAAAAATTAATGCAAAAAAGTAAAGAATTGGCAGGACCGATAAATTTTTGCATTTAATTTTTTTGTATTTTCATTCGGGGTTTAGTTATGTTTTTCCATTCTGAAAATTGATAGTAATACATACGTAATATGTTATGGTAAGATACCCAGCAAACATTTTTTAGATGAGGGCGGAAATATATAGTCGTGCTTTGAATCGGATAAAGGAAAAGATTCCGCTATTGACAACTGTACCTGACCGATATAAACTCCGGTCTATACCCTACACGAACATTTTTAATGAAAAAAATATTGTCTATAATTAATGCAATGTGGTTCTAATTTTTGGTGTAATTTCCACGTATAAATAAATTTATGTTTTACTCACATAAATAAAATATGTATACATGTGATAGAAATACAGTACAAAATATTGTTTTTCTAGCAATGTTAGTGAAATAAACATTAACAAATATCGAAAATAAGAAACTAACTAACGCGACGGGCGCTCAGCGCAGAGCTGTACTTCTTCGAGCTGTTCAAAACCTCTAAGTATCTGAAATGATAATATATGCTTTCATTAATCTTATGTGCGGATCTAACGTATTCTCTAAAGCATTAACCAATAAAATTATATAAGCATATATAATTACTTAAAAAATAGTCTATTTAGGGGTGTTTACAATTACGGTCTATCTCTTTTTTGTTGTGCGATATTATATTACACAGTAGAATCCCGATAATCCGTAAGGATTCGTTGTTCTCTTAATATTATCTCTCTGATTCTTATTAAAAACTATGTAATTTCAATCCCTCTATAATTCTCATTTATTCTGACCTTCGTTCTGCGCACGCGCTAGATTATAATATACCACTGTTACCTCGTCTTTTAGATATATTCACTTTGTCTAGGGAAATTAGTGTTATTTTTTAATAAAATTGTGACTATACGTGAGCTACACCTGGTACATAATATGTAATCATGCCACAGTGATTACAGTTATTTATTGTACACAGTTATGTGAAGTGAAGCTAGTGTATAGAGTCTAGTTCCCTTATCTCGCAGCCATAAGAACCTGGCCCAGGCTACTCAGTTGGGCTTGGAACCTTCACTGGGAGCGGTCCTTTTGCGACGCTGATACAAAATCAAGGTCACGCAGCGTGTTTTAATTTTTTTTTTCTATCTTCACTTTCTCTTGATGTGATATGAGATACTACCATCAACTCATGTCTTCTAAGGGTGAAAAAAACGAGGCCTCGCTCTGCCAGATCTACACCTCGTTCGTCACCTGCGAACAAAAAGTCACCAATCGAAAAGAATCACGCCACCTGCGACTCCACCTAAAGTAGCAGAAGACATTCAAGCTCAGCCGGATAAATCTCAGGAGAGGACTGAGGAGACACCATTTTTCACCCCGAATCCTATCAAAGTCCGACAGGTCACCAATATTATGAAGGAAGACAGAGATTTATCCGGGGCAAATAGAAGAATATCATTATCCATATCTTTTATAGATTTAGAACCTTCACCAGGAGTCGATAAAATATATGAAATTAAGATATTATACAATACTAGTGTTAAGGTTGAAAAACCATACATTAAAAGATAGATCGTCTAGTGCCATAATTGCCAGGCATATGGCCACGTCAAAACTTTCTGCCACCACATCCTAAGATGAGTGAAATGCCGAGATCACACAAGACTAGTGAATGCAATAAACTTAAAGCTATTCCCGCAGTATGTGATTTATGCCTGGAAGGACTTCTGCCAACTACAAGGGCTGCCAGGTCTTCAAAAACATCAAAACTAAATTTCATAATCCCTAGGACAACAAGGCCTTATCCATTCTCCTTTCGAATGCAAACGGTGTTAAAAGCACACTGACGAATCGACAGCTCTATTACAAGACAAGAACGTTGATGTAGCCTTTATTACGGAAATTCGACTGACCAAAATACAAATTTTAAAAATACCACAATACTCAATCGTACATCGTACTGACCATCCTGCCGGTAGAGCACATGCCGGCAGTGCAGTCATTGTACAATAATTCATGTCTCACCACCTACTCCCATTACCGACTCATGATTTCCAACAATCCACTGCTTTCATAATCAAAACCTTCTTCTTTCCTATTATTGTTGCACCACCTTATTGCTCTCCCAACCAATCCAGCTCTCCGCCTCAATTCCATAGAACACCATTTCATCCTGGGTGCAGACTTAAATGACAAGCATCAGCCATGTGGCTCAAGAACTACGAATTTCGCGGTGAGTTGATCGCAGTCGAACACTGCTGTCTGCACTCAATTCCCAACGTTTTAAGCTCGTTTCCTCTAACTCACTTCCCTACTGACCCACTGATCCTAACCGTAATCCTGATATCCTTAATTTCTTCATCCACAGTGGTTTTTTTCCTTTCAACTATTCCATTGCAAGCCTTGATAAACTTTCTTCAGACCACAGTTCATTAATATTTCAAGTATCACTAGCTTCTATTCCTCAACCTTCTCCGCCGTACTATATCAGTGACCCAGTCAACTGTAAACTCTTCCATCAAACCGTTTCCGATCAAATTTACTACAGAATAACCCTCAAAACTTCAGAAGATCTTGGTAATGCCGTACACTCCTTTACCACAACCACTCAACAAGCCGTCTGGACTGTTTCCTCCCTTAATCATTCCCTAAGAATTCTAAGGAAAAATAAATTACCTCAACATATCCTTGACTTAATCCATACCAAACGCCGTCCCAGATTTCTATGGTAACGTACTAGACAACCCACAGATAGCCGATCCTATGATTAATACTGTAAACAAGTTAAGCAAGAATTATCTAACTTTAAATCCCAATCCCTTAACTCCTACCTTGCTTCCCCTTACGCTCAATTCGCTTCTTTACTAACAATTCTCTCTTTAATGTCACCGAAAAAATCCTAAAATCCATAATACTTCCCATCCCCTCTGTCGAGGTGATGGCTCCTGGGTAATGTCTGATAAAGACAAAGCTGAGGAATTCCCCAAACACCTCTCCTGTTCATTTACTGCTCATCCTGAATCCCATCCCACCCATACTGCAAAAGTAAAAGAACTACTCTCCTCACCAATTCCACTTTACCACCAAAAGTAGTTCAGCCTTCTGAGGTAAAATCACTTATACCTACTCCTAGTAACAAACTTAACAATATTTATTCGCTTTTATTAATAATTGAGTTTAAGTGTTCCAATTCAGCTGATTCTAATTTGGTTCATAACAGTCCTTATCGAAATATCGTTAAAAAATAACTAAATTATTTATATTTATACGTACATTTTATACAATGTACACAAATATTTTGTAACATGTGCACAAATCAATAAAACATGTTTTCGAATTTTGATGTTGAACATGAAATTTAAATTTAATTTTTATTTTTCAGTTTCCTAAAGTTAGTCCACATCTTCAGTGTTAATCCTCACCTAGGACCATTGCAGATTTCGCTTGGTCGTATGATAATAGATATAATCAAGTTCTTCTTCATATATACACTCGTTTTGTTCGCTTTCGGATGTGGTAAGTTCAGTAAATAAATTCCTTGTCAACTTAACCATAATATGTAATAAATTAAACATGATGTAATAAATGTAAATGATGTAATTCCTCGAAGTAAGTATGTAATTCCTTGAGTAATGATTATATTTTTACTAATTATGAGTTCAACTATCGTAAGTAATGTACGTCCAAATTACCTAAATGCCACATACGCATATATCCTATCATACTTGATAATCTTTATTACTATGTCCCCATTATGCCCATATATATATATATATATATATATATATATATATATATATATATATATATATATATATATATATATATATATATATATATATCCTCAAATGGATCGGCTACGGAGCTACGGGTGGCCTGCCGCTGCACCATGGTAACAGTGGTTCGTAGCAACGTGAGGTTGGGTGACTCTCTCCAGGCTATCTGAGCTCCCGCAAGTATCACACGTCTGTAAGGAGACCACATCTTCATGGTCTGTAGTGCCAACAGAAAAAAAAAAAATAAATAAATAAATATGTGTATATATATATATATATATATATATATATATATATAAGCTAAGGACCGGAGTAACAGCTGTTGGTTTAATATCAGCTGTTAGAAATTTATATATTGAAGAGCAAGGAGAAAAATAAATCAGTCTTGATCGTTACTTCAGCTATCTCTTTTTTATTTATGTTCTTTAACTTCAACTTAGGCGGTACCGAAACCCGGCATCCTTTTTAATTTTTTACGGAGTTTTTAATTATTTATTTTTTCATCCCTCTTTTTTTTAATTTGGTTTTCCTCCTGAACCATAGTAGAAAAGATGCATCCGTGCTGGATTTTCCCCCACTACTATCGCAAACTCTGGCGGAAGCACTAGCGGATCCAGTCGGGGGGAGGCCCTCCTCCCCCAACAGGAAGTTGGGAAAAATTCCAAAAAAAGTTCCAAAAAGCTCCTATTTAAAGAAAAAAGTAATATAAGGAAAATTCAACCTCATAGACGAATACCCTGAAGTAATATTAAAAAAACTATATTATTATCGTAAGCACTAGAGCGTTATTAGCACCTGAACTAGAAAATTCTCTCTTGAATGGTGAAAAACCATTCTGAAAAAAAATTCAAAATTTTTATATAATTTTCTTTTCCTTAGTGATAAATAGATAATTCGCCTAAGATATTTCACTAATTCAATCGATATTTATTTATCGTTCCTCTTCAACCTACTTACCATACCCAGTTTTCAACTACATGGCTTTTTTTTAATTAATTCCTTTTTCTTTATATCATGACTTCCTTCATTCCTTCCTTCATCAAGATTTCTTATAACGTCTCGACTCCTAAGTTCACACTCCCAGGCAAATTAGGCCCATTGACCTCTGAAAAACTATTTGATATTAGGAAATCTACTCCACAAACTCACAAAACACCTTTCTTTCTGTCTACATAACATCACAGCAATGAACAAAGAGCCACTACTCTGTTTAAGCTCATCCAAGCCAACCTGCTTCGTTTACAACAGCAGAGCAGTGTTGCCAGTGAAGATGTATTAACTTAACATACTCCCACCATTACAATTTATATTTTAAATTGTAAACAGATTTAAAATAACAAAAACAAAATATAAAACAGCCAATGCAAACATTTATAAATTTACAGGTCAAATCATTGTATTAATTTAATAACACTTAATAAATGTATTCTGCTTCTCTTTTCTTCTTGATAAGATGACTGGCTGATAACATCTCGAAATAATCTACTCTTCTAAGGTACAGTTTTTGTTTTTCTCCTCTTCCAGCTTTGGAATTCAACTTCTTTGGAGTACAATGAAGAATTATTCGTACCACCAGTTGTTACTTGTACTCCAACCCTTTTCTGACTAAGATCTGGTTCTGATGGGGACCTTTGGTTGACGACAGGACTGGTATTCCTTGTTATGTGCCTGGAACGACTGTTCCGAGCTGCAGTTGTGACATGTGGTTTTACTCTGGGAGGTTGTACAACTTATGGATTTATTGTTTTAACTATTACTGATCCAGTCTTCTTGGTAGTGCCATCATCTAGACGACCACTTAGTAACATCACAACAATGAACAAAGGATTACTACTCTGCGTAACCTCACCCAAGCCAACCTGCTTTGCTTAAAACAGCAGAGCAGTGTTGCCAGACAAAATACATTAACTCAACATGTAAAATCTTTCCTCGAATCACTAGCCCAACCCTTAGATCCAATATATTCCTATTCTTCCATTGATAAAATGGTGGAGTGTCGTTCCTCCATCTTCTTCTATTCCTACACGCATCCTTAAATACCTCAACCTTCAAAGCCCTCCTGCTCGCTGGACTTATACAGAAATAAGAGAATTAGTGATGGTAAGAAACGCTGCAAGGAGACGTTTTGGATGCAAACGTAATCCAGATGACTACTTTTCTGTCAAGGCTCTTCGAACCTTATAAAATCTTCCTTGCGACGTCGTAAGGCACAATTCTTTAATAATTCCTTATCAAAGCTTAGAGTTAGGGAGGTATTTAATTGAGTCCAGGAATTTAACATGCCTCCTCCTGATAAATTCCGCATTCGTTGGGATAACCAGTATGTTGTGGATATCCGGGTTTTTTTCTTTATTCCACACCGTTGTTTTGACAAAATTCCTATGAATTGTGTTTTGAAATTGTGTCGATGTTAGTTTTCAGTTAGGTGTGTAAAGAGCGGTGCGCCGTACAAGAGTGCTGATCCTAGTATGGCCTTCTACACCTGTAACTTGAGTCTGAGCTAAAGAGTTGAGGATGTGTGGAGATTGTGACGGTAGGACCGTCTACTTACAGATTTTGTCTTTTTGTGGTTTGTGTTGTTAGGCGGAGGTGTCGGCCCATAGTAATGCTCAGGTACACTATAGAGATGGATGGTTTTATATCTTCTTTTTCCACTCGGAGAGCTCTCGGCAGTCTATTCTTTTTACTCTTTTGATAAGAAAACTCTACGCAGTCCGCTTCGCTGGATTCACTTGGATGTTGAGATTTTCAAGCTATCAAAATATCTAATTGAGTTCAGCTTGTTGTGGTGCTTTTTTTGGGTTGGCGCTACGACTGTAAATGGCGATGTATCAGTGTAGGCAGTGACGTTAGCTATTCTGTAGTTCTTGCCAACTACATCTGCTGTATATATTGAAATAGTAATGGAGAGAGGACTGCTCCTTGTGGACCATACGTTAGGAAAACAATGTTGGAGTGTTCATCTTGAACTTATTGAAAATTATTTCAAATTTATTTTGGAAATATAGTGTTTATTTTAATCATTTAATAAAAATATCCAATTCGTTCTGGCCAGTAAATGTAGTTTAACCTTGAGATTATCATTTTTTCACATATTTATCATATATTTTTATTCATTCATTTATTTTACAAAATCAAATAAATCATATTTTATTACGAATACCCTCATGGTCTTTCACACATTATTATTAAAAAAAAGTAACATTAAAAATATATATAATTTAGTGATGTATCTTTCAAATGTTTTTATTAAAATTAATGCTGCTATTAATGAAATTAAGTCGACATTAAATTAAGTTGAAATCTTTTTTTTATGAATCCAAATTTTATTTTATAATCACATACATAATTTTGGAATAGTTTACTAACAGAAATAAATAAAACTATCTGGAAAACTTCAATAAGGATGGCCCCTTCAATACTTATACATACCATAACGCATTGTTGAACGTAAAAGCTGGTTCGCCGTGATTACAAATGAAGGGGCTAAAAAGTTCTTCATAGTATAACAAACAAATAAAATAAAATTTTCTAATTTAAAATTCAATATAATTTTTTATGCTATTAAATATCTCTTGCGAATACTTTTTATTCCACTACGATAAAATAAAAAGGTAGAAACTTAATTAAATAATTATTAACTATACCGATTCATGTTTTAGTTTTTCTACCGCATTTTTTACATTATATTTTATTTTATTATGGTTTATTGAGCTTGGGTTGGGAGGTCGGGGCTTGCCCAGATCCAAGCCCAAATGCAAAATCATTAAAACTCTCTCAGTAGTGAAGTAAAAAACCTGTACAGCCTACTCTGTTTCTTCCGATCAACTGAATTCCCATTTCGCCTACCCTGACTCATAACCACTTTCTCTTCATATTGCATTCCAAAATCTTAAAAAAACAAAAAACTTGCCGTCGGAAGACTGGATAGACTCACTTCAACTCGGCATACCTAATGGAGAGGTGGGAGCGCCTGAGGACTCCAAAAATTAATCTAATGAAACAATTCATTAGTCTCCTTAATCTGATATCCAGCCCATTAGACATTCCAACGTATCCAACGCAGCCATAATCGTGAGAAAACTATAAGCTGACGGATTTAAAGGGCTACGGAATCACGGAATCTTAGGAACTGTTTGAGGGTAGCAATGGATTTTAAGATTATTTGGGAAATGTGATTATTCCAGGACAGATATTGATTATTACCCCAAGGTTTCTAACGGTAGTGTGGAAACGGATTGGTATACCATTGAGGTGGAGTAGGGGATAATAAGGAATGTAATTAATCAGATGGAAACAATGAAAATGGCTTGGTTCTTATGCACGTTCAACTTTAAATAGTTGCTTACTGCCCAATATTGTTACAATCAATGTTTTCTTGATGCCTTGGGATCGCCTCAAGCATCTTGGTAGGATGAAAGCAAAGATAGATTTGGAGGCCCTTAGCGTATAAGTGATATTGTGAATGATGGATGGAATCAGGAAGGTCGTTGATGTAGTTGGAGAGAGCGAAAATCCCCGAGGAACACCGGGATTAAGTAAAAGTGGACAGGAAGGAGTTTTATTAGATATGGTGACTGTTTGTTATCTATGATACAAGAAGGAATAGAACCACTTTAGAGCACAATTTGATATGGAAAGATTTTGGAGTTTGGAAAGCAGGATTTTGTGATTCTCTGAATCGAATTCTTTTGAAAAATCAAAGAGGGCCAGGATAGAGATTTTCTCTTTGTACATGGAGAAATGAAGGTCTTGAGTAATTTTCAACAATGCAGACTAAATGATAATTTATCATGCTTCAGGTCTCAGTATTCTGAATCATTATATCAAATTATTATTGAATAATACAAATTTCCCCAAATTCAGCCATCTTCATGGAAACAGCACATTTCTAAATTATTATGGTAATGTATATTTTGTGTATAGATATTTATTTTTTGTATAGATGTATGTATATTTACCCACTCGTGTACCCCTAGTATCTTTCCCGTTGTTCACATTGATAATTCACCTATTTTTAGAAACACCCATGTAGACATATTTTTAAAATAAATTATTTGTAGATATAGTTGTAGCTATTATTTAACCCAAGAAATAAATCTAAAAGTGAATAAGTCCCACTGCCGTTGAGAGTGATTTTGGAGACTAGATTTCTTAGTTTTAATCACATCCTCTTGACGTGATAAGCTTCTGTAGCTCTGAAGTTGACTAAGCCTACAGATTGGCTTACTCCAAGTCGCTTTATCGAGTCAGAGGAATGAGGAGAAATCCAGATCCGATACTTAATTATATGTCTCCTAACAAAAGGTAAATTATTGGATATTTTGTTTGGTATGAATGAATTTCATCAGCCTCTAACAGCTAATATTATTTGTAGAGACCAGATTATTATGCAATTCGATATATAATTCACTATCTTTAAATATTTAATAAAAATCGGATTATATACATTCCAATGCAAATAAACCCATTTTAAAGTATATTTCGAATTGAATTACTTATACACCAAAGAAGGAATGTTTTTTTTATTAAAATTACATTATCTAGTACACAAGAAATTCAGGGAATTTAAGGGAAGGAAATGTTACTGAAAATTCTTCTATCCTACCGGTTCAAGTTGAAAATTCTAACCTCTCAACGATTTCAAGTTACACAATATATTTCAACATCCTTACTTAGGAACACTAATGAAAATAAATAAAATCTGAAGCGAAGCTTTTTCTTTGTCATTTTTTATAAAGAACTAAGTCTGATATTAATTTTTTAAAAAATATTATGTTAAAACGAATCCTACTCTTAATAGAATCCCAAATGAAGGTTACTTTTTTCGGGTTTTCGCTTATATTAGGAAAACTATCAATCGCATGGACAAAGACCTCCTATAAAAAATTAAAACTGATAAAATTTACAATATGACTGATTGTATACCTTTTTTTTCTACCTCTCTTACTTTCCGAGATATCAGTCCTCAACTATCGCTAATTTGTAAAAAAAAAATGTTTCCTTATATTTTTTATCATATTTGACTAGCTAACTATTCATTACTTCTTTCTACAATTAAATTGTGGAAAATAAAGCTTTTAATAATTTAGTTTTTTTCAAGAATATATATTACTTTACTGGTTTATATCCAAAGGTTCAAAAGTTAGATCAATTATAACTTTATATATCAATTCCGAGAATTTGCAGACTAAAATAATTTTTTAAATATTCGTTTTTCTTATATTGCTCTTAATCTCTATAAATCTAAATCTTTATATATATATATATATATATATATATATATATATATATATATATATATATATATATATATATATGGGGCTGGAGTAGCCGTACGGGCTAAGGCGCTTGCAATAGATGGTTTGGGTGGACGTTCACCACGGAATGACACTCTGCCCGAGATTTCTCCCCCCCCCCCCCCTCCTCGGGAATGTGAATTTCAAACTGAGCTGAAAAAGGAATTCGAACCCAGAACGCGGAAGACCTCATGGTTGACCAACACTGGGAGGCATTAGAATCAGGGCTAAGACAAACAGCTAAGAAAGTAATAGGGATTCAGGAAAAAAGAAAAGCCAAGAAATGGTTCACAGAAGCATGGGAAAAGGCAGTGGAGGAAAGAAGAAAAGTCCTCATCTTAGGACAAACTGATCAAGCAATGCTAGACAAATACACAGTTTCCAGGAAAAAGACAAACAAAATAATAAGAACAGCCAAAAGAGAATTCCTCAAAGAAAGATTACAAACTATAGAGGAAAACTGGCAGGTTGGAAATATATGCAAATTCCTCGCAGATATCAGGAATGAAAGGGTAGTATATAAAGCGAGAAATACACAAATGCGAGAGAAAGATGGCAAATTGATGGCATCAAAAGAAAAGATCGAACGCATCTGGAAGGAACACTTCCAGCAGCTGCTTAATCAAGGACACCCCACAAACGATGAAGACATGGACCACGCTGAGGACATCGACCCACTTGAGGTTGAAAAAACAGATATTCTGGATGTGGAAATAGCTATCGGCAGGTTTAAAAGCCGAAAGGCCCCAGGGATAGAAAACCTACCATCAGAACTGTTCAAGGATGGGGGAGAAGACCTCAGAGCCAAGGAGAAAGAACGGATACCAGAAGCATGGAACACAGGATTGATCTGTCATATCATTAAGAAGGGCTCCATGTATGAATGTGGCAATTGCAGAGGCATAGAACTTCTTCTAGTCACCTATAAAATAATGACTAATATTCTGCTAAACCGGATACATCCGTATTATGAAAACATGATAGACGACCATCAAACAGGATTCAGGAGAGGGATGAGTACGCTAGATCAGATATTCATTCTGAAACAAGTACTTGAAAAACGAAGGAAGTAGATCAGGACGTATTCGCGTTATTTGTCGACTTCAAATCAGCCTATGACTCCGTTGACAGAAACTGTCTCTGGAAGATCATCATTGAGCTGGGTGTTCCCGGGAAATTAGTGAGGTTGACGAAGGCTTGTACAAATGATCCTAAATGCAGGGTACTAATACAAGGAGATGTATCTGAAGCCTTTGAAGTTCGAACGGGTTTGAGGCAGGGAGATGGACTCTTGCCGATGCTGTTCAACTTAGCACTAGAGAAAGTAATAATAATAACATCACGCGAAGATGGAGGGATGCACGTTGGAATGAAACACAAAATCCTATGCAAAAGCATATGCCGATGATATTGCTGTCCTCGGAAGTAATCAAGAGGATATTGAGAGACTCGCTCGGACTCTATTAAAAGAAGCAGAGCAAATCGGACTACAGGTCAATGTAGATAAAACAAAATACATGATAGTTAGCCGAAACATCCACCCTAATAGCATGATCTGCGTGGATTCTAAGTCATTCCCGAAAGTAGACAGATTCAAATACCTCGGCTCCACAATAACCTCAATAAATGATCAACTAACAGAGATAGACCAGCGAATAACAAGTGCGAACAGATCTTTCTTCTCTCTTTCAAAGGTACTGAAATCCAGAAAAATCTCCAGAAATCTCAAAATAAGGGTGTACAACGCCGTGATTAAGCCAGTTCTGCTGTACGGTTGTGAAACCTGGGCTCTAACAGGCACATTAGAAGCCAGAATTGAGAGATTCGAAAGAAAAGTTCTACGTAGGATAACAGGACCTATATGGGACCAGAACCTTAACACATGGAGGAGAAGGAACAATAGCGAACTGTTGAAATAAACTGGTCAGTCAATATCTCATAACATAAAGGCAATGAGGTTAAGATGGGCAGGGCATGTAGCTCGTAGTAATCAATCAGGACACCTCTACAAAACAATGAATGCCAGAGTAATAGGCAAGAGACCACGTGGGAGGCCAAAAAACAGATGGATAGATAGGATAAACAAAGATTCGGCTGAGCTTCATGCCGCAAACTGGAAACCAGTAGCCCAGGATAGGCAGATGTGGAGAAGGCTGGTTCAGGTGGCCAAAGATCTACAAGGTCTGTAAAGCTAATCGAATATATATAGAGTAAAATTTTGTGTATTTTACTCTTAAGGAATTATTCATTAACTAAATTAAACATTTTTTGGTTATTGCTTCTTATTAAAAAATACAATGACTTACTTAAAAAATACAAAAAAAGGCAACTTGAATTTCCCATTTTTCTACGGAAATTCTGACCAAGATCGTTATAAACATTTTATACCGCCTGAGGTATTCAATGCTCCTTTAACCTTTATTCATATGATCTCTCCATACAAGGTCTGGATGCTCATCCGTTCCCTTGCATTTCTATATACTAAGTCAGGAGATCCATCCCTTCGTTAGTATTTCATCCTCCTTAAAGTCAAGAAATTGATCCCTCCAATTGGTTTTTGGTTTCTGTTCCTTCAGATTGTTAAGGATCATCCATTACACCACAGACCAGGAGTGATTTGGGTTCTCATCCGCCTGACACTTGAGGTCATCCTGTCTTAGCCTCTTCCTTAATTCACTAAATCATTTTACCCTAAACTGAACACGATCTGTCGGGGCCTTCTTATAACGTTATAAATTACTTACAATTCCTTGATAAAACTAATAAAATAACATCAAATTTTCTTGGTGCACTCGCACGGAGTTGTTAATATTTTATAAAAGAATAAATAATAGGGACATTTCGAATTTCTCTCTCCTCGAACTAATTGCACCTAGCAAAATATACATTAACATTTTCATTTGATAAGATTTAGAGTTACATATCATATATATTCAATAATTTGAATAAAGAATTATATTTCAGTTTCTATCGGTTTAACATGTTATTTTGCACTATATATTTAAAGATCTAAAATAAATAGCTAATTCTTTTTTTATGTATTTTTTTTTAGGTTTGAATCAACTAATGTGGTACTATGCTGATCTAGAAAAATCTAAATGTTATCATAACGTTGATGGTCCTGCAGATTTCGATACCCAGGAAAGGGCGTGCTCGATATGGAGGAGATTTGCTAAGTGCGTCTTCATTATACAGCTAAATCTATTTTAATATAGTTTTGAGATCAAACTACCAGTTGGCACAATGTAATAAATGAAAAATTAAAAATATTTCCAAAACAATTTCATAGTTGGTTTTAATTACAAAGGAGCAGGTCTAAACAATATTTTAAAATGTCACTTTAAGCTTCAAAATTTTAATTGTACTTTAGCAGTGATGGTCTTGATAAAATTATATTTTATTGATCGGTCCAAGCATTGCATAACTTTAAAATGAAGTTTCTAATGAGAAAAAACACATGGTAAATTTTCTAATTTCGTATTAAATCATTAATCAATAAAACATGATTATGTTACAAATTATCATTATACAGGGTGTCCCGTCAGTAAACATAAATATTTTCAGGGAAGATTGAAGACCTCAGGCGGTAAAAAATTTTTATAAAGATCTTGGTCTGAATTTCAGTAGAAAAACTGGAAAATCAAGTTTTTTTTTTAATAGTCACGGTTTTTCTTGAATACGAAGCAGTAACCAAAAAATGTTTAATTCAGGTATGTCTAAATGTCCTGTTCCTCACACAGTCTCGTCTCGTCTTGTCACTCGTGAGGCATTCTTGTCCAAGAGTAACCAGCTCTCATCTCCATATAACAAGACCGAGAGAAAGACAGATTTAAAGATGCGAAGCTTCGTATCTTTGCTCAACTCTTGCTTGCCCACCAGTGTTCTGGAAATTCGGAAGAAGACCTGGTTAGCTTTACGCACTCGATGCATAAAGCATTCGACCGTATTTTCATAATAAGCTATCCCAAAAACATAATTGTCGAATCTGATATCGATTATATCTGAAAAGTTACAAAAATTCAATGCTGGGTGGGGAGGGGGGTGGCGTAATATCAAATTCGACAATATTTTCAGAAAAAGCGCCCCCGAAAACATAATAGTTGACCCTGATATCAATTAAATCCGAAAAGTTACAAAAAGTCGATGGTGGTGGGTGGGGGAGGGCCCAATTTCAAATTAGACAGTATTTCCATAATAAGCTACCCCAAAAACATAATAGTCGACCATGATATCGATTATACCTGAAAAGTTACAAAAAGTCGATGCGGGATGGGGAGGAGGGTAGCGCAATATCAAATTCGATAGTATTTTCATAAAAAGATACCCCGAAAACATGGTGCGTATTGGTAAATTTTATACATTATTTCAGAACAATTTTATTTCTGAAATATTTATTTCTTGATTTTTTCCAATAATTTATTTATGAAATAAACAATTCTGAAATAATAGTTATGAAATAGTTAATTTCATAAATAACTCATTTCGAAATAATTTAGTTTATTCCAAAGAATGTTAAAATATTGAAATAAAATTATTTGAGAAATAAATTCAGCAGTTATTTTTTTTGTGGTTTTTTCATTGACAGTTTGAAATATTATTTCAGAAATAACCATTATTCTGGAAATAATTCATTCGTGGAATAACCATATGATTTATTTCAGAAATAAATTACTTCAAGAGTCCCACGTCTATTAAAAATATTATACTTTTTTTCTTTTTTTAATTTCATCCATTATTTTATATTTTAAAGAATAAATGAAACTTACATTTTATATATTATTAGGATTATGCTTATTACTACAATTTTAATATAACATCTAAAATTAAACACCTCATACAACTGGTATTATATGCTAATTCCAGTCACCTTCTAGTTCTAACATTGGCTGCACTTATTAATATTTTTTATTATCAAAATCAGGTTTATGGTTGTTTTCAATAATACTTCTAGTGCGATCCGTGTTTTACATTTTACTTTACGTATAACATCTTTTTTATGTTGTTTTCTAATCGTATCGTTAATATTAGCTACATCTTTATTTATTTAATTATTATTATAATCTTTATTAAATGAATGTGTATATATATATATATATATATATATATATATATATATATATATATATATATACATTCATTTAATAAAGATTATAATAATAATTATATATATATATATGTGTGTGTGTGTGTATATATATACACATTCATTTAATAAAGATTATAATAATAATTATATATATATATATATATATATATATATATATATATATATATGTCGTCAAGAAATTAAAGATTTGCAGAGGAGGCGAGATACTGCCCGTAGACGCTTTAGGCTTCTTAGAGAGTCTCTCGTTCAATCAAGACCTCAAGCGTGCGATTCTGTCTCTATATATTTATCTAATAGTTATCCATAGACATTCCGGTTAAAAAATCTCCACATTTATTTAATATAGCGTTCAGAAAATTCCATAGAGTTAACAGTAGTGTTTTATCTTCGTTGATACTTATAAGAATTGTAATAAAGTGCCCGTTATAAAAGCAGCTGAGTGAGAGTAGTGGGGCAGCTTATCAAGCTTCACCTTAATCCCGGCAGCCACCACCCAAACAAACAGGTGTGTTATTATTTTGTTGCTCATTGTTTTATTTAACTCTCCTTATTTAAATAGCGCTATTTTAAAGAAATAATAATCTCAATAAAATGGTTAATTGTAAAACATGCAGTAAATCGGTGGCACGAGAGGAGAAGAACAAATTAGCCTGTACAGTATGTACAAATATATATCATGCTAAATGCATCAAAATTGATAGTTTCAGTTATTAGTGCGATATCCATGTTTTTGCCCTGTAATAAGACCGTTAGTTCGTTGGTGTTATTTCGAATATCATTCACATTCCAAAGGAGAATAGAAAGGGATTTATTTAAGGACGTTTATGGATTTCTTAGTGGTGGGATGATGTGGGCTACAACACTTGTAAGTAGTGTGATAACTGGGGTGATGAGGGATTTGAACTCGGAGATAAATGATGTATGTAGACTGGTTAGGTCAGAGGAGTTGTATATGCCTGGCAGTTATGCCACTGATTTTTCTATTACTACACGTGTATAGCATAGGCGAGTGATTTTGTAAATGTCTTCGACCCTTAGTGAGCATTCTAGGTCAACAAAAAAGAGAGGTAAATGTATTTTGTTCTTTATTCCTGGTTCTTATTTATTTTTTTCAAAGACATTTACTATTTGACGTACCTTATATTTCATTGCCGTCAGTTCTACTTTTATGGGTTCAAGCGTAGTTGATGGATGCAGACCTCTGATCACCACTCTCAGCGCTGTCTATTGGCGTAATTGGTATGTGTGAAAGTCTGCATGTGTTTCGATAAATATTTAACAATTATTTTGTATGTTTGTGAAGTGTCTGGTGTTAATTTTGTGTCGTTAGTACGACTTTGACACTTTTTCCTGTACCCATAATTTTATCCAGTTTTTGGCATAACAATTGAATTTTTGAAATATTTTTGATGAATTTTGGCGGTGGCTTGATTTCTGTGGGGGTTGGTACAGTTTCCATGTTTTTAACAGGTATGCTTGATAGCATTGGTAAGGATATGGGTGTAAAAAAAGGAGATGTACCCGGCTGGGCCTCATTTTCTTCGACTAAGTTAACTTGTGTGCTAGGAGGAGTATCTCTTTTTGAACGCCTCGATTTTGATTTCTTTGGTGAAGACCGTGGAGTGTTTAAACTCTTACTGCGTTTTATAACCCTTTTCTCTGACATAACCATATGGAAATATCCCATAACATATTAAAATGGAGGAAGAAAAAATGTAGTAAAAGGAAAAAAATAAAAATAAGGTACGTAAGATAGATAAACACGCGAGTCTTGGAGAGACATAAGGGTACAACCCTGCTTCGTTCAATTCCTGGAGGCAAACTGACTAGCTTATGGCCACTTGGTGTTATCTCCAGCTGACGCGTCTATATTGTTGTTCACTAAGTAAGTCAACAAACAATTGATAATCCACCGTATGTTTTTACTGATGTATACAATAGTACTATTGTTACTAGTCAGCACATTTTTACTGTAAAATGACGCTATTTATCTGTTTAAATAAAGAAACTTTAGAGAGACCAAATGGCACAGGTATTGTTTCAATCTAGCGTAAACGTTTTAGTGATAGGAAAGCAATATAAATTTTAAAAAAATGGTTTATAAGTCCATTTCCTCATAAATATATAATGTAGTAAAAATAAATAAATAAAACATTTGAAAAATCGGGCAACAAAATACAAGTGAAACATGGTAAAGATATATACAGATAGACATAGATGATTCAAACAGTTCGTATAATACAAGCCTGAATAGAGAAGGCTTTTGGAAATTTTAAGATTATGAAAAAAACAAGAGTAATTTTCCCAACATGTGGAGTATATAGGATTATAAATGTTATTTTTTAAAAATTAAAATTGTTAAGTTCTGCTAGTTACATAAAATAGTGATTCATAAAAAGGATTTATATGATCTCAGAGAAGAATGTTACCATTTGGTGCAGAACGTGGTAATCCGAACGTGTCAGCAAAGAGGCCTTGCCACCCTCTAATGTACAGACAAATAGGGATAAATTGCTACGTGATGAGAATGGCTTGAAATTGCTGACAAAAATAAGCCTTCCTTTCTAGATAAATATATTTGAAAATTATAGTAAAAAAAAAAAAGCATCACAAGCTGTTTTTAAACAAAGAATAATGATGTCTATTGCCTAATAGACTTTTATGCCTATCGTCATGACGCTATACTTCTTAATTCATGCAATCCAACCAGTCCACAACAATTTGTTTGTCCCAATGATATTTTACTTTCTGAAATTAAAACCGGTTGCAACAATCAAATCACTTACTGTTAACGATTAATTCTCATCAAGCTTATATTTTTTTAAAAATCCAAACTAAACAATTACTAGGTTACGATAAAATCTATACATGTATTACTGCTCGTTTTATTAATATTACTTAAGTTAAGATTGATTATCTTTAATAAATATCTTAAAGAAAGCTACAGATTTGCTAATCAACACAATTTATTTATAACCACAAAACATTTCATTTTATAACCATAAAAACATCTGAACACATGATTTACATATGATATCGATTGTTTATCAAATTAAATTAAATCATATG